TTGAAGTTGGCTAGAAGTACGTTTTATATTATTGTTAGATGGGTAACTCTTGAGTCTGTGGCTATATACTCTGGACACAACATTGAGACATGATGCTTAGGAGCAATATGAACCCGACTCAAATACAGAAGTTATAAGGTGTGAGCCCTTCAGGTAAGAGAACACACCGAAGAGGCCATGCCCTTGAGGTTTGGAGGATTTGGAGTCCAGGGGAGAGAGGATGCACATTTGCAGTAATCTGGACTCGGCAGGCCCTGGCCCCTGGAGTGTGTGGGGGAGGAGGGGTCGGGGTCACAAGTGAGGGTGTGGCTTTGTCTCCTCCTGCCCTGCTGGGGCAGGTGGGATTCTGTCGGTCCAGGCTGCCCTTGCTGGTTTTCTGGGCAGAGAGCGGAGACTTGCTGGGGGCTTTTCGTCTGTGCTCCTTGGTGAATCCAGGGTGCCGGCTTCTTCAGCTCCAAGTTTGGTCGTCTTACCTTTGTGTCACCTCCAGGGTTTTTGCTGAACTTAGCAGGAGGGATGGGAAGAACCACAATGCTCCATCCTCCTTGAAGCAGAATTCCACACACCTGCTTTTATCCCTCAGTCATGGGGAAGAACCACAATGCTCCATCCTCCTTGAAGCAGAATTCCACACACCTGCTTTTATCCCTCAGTCATGGGGAGGAGCCCCACCTGACTTCTGCGTCCGCAGTTCTGGCTCAAGCCTCAGTCTAGTCCCATAGCTGAGCTCCTGCACCCACCTGAGCTCCCACACCCACCAGCCATGCCGATGTTGTGATGGGGCATGCATGGCTGGGGCTGGGGGTCTATCTGGAAGCCCCAGTCCAGGGTGTGCAGAAGAGGCCAGTGCATGGCGCCTTGGCTGCTGCTTACGCCTTCCCACGTGGAAAGGCGCCATCGCCCTTTGCCCTCTCCCAGCACCTCCTCGAGCCACTGTCCAGCCAGGGCTTGGCCACGGCCCTGAGGAGCCTGCCCGGCCCCTGTTCGACCCAGCCTTTCTGAGGGATTCCTGCCTGCGGGTCCCACAGCCCCGAGCGCACCCCTGGGGAGGGGCGTGTGGTGGCCACTGTCGGAGGGCTACCCTCTGGAAAAGGCTGTTTCAGAGGAGAGCCCGTCATGGCCCAGCTGTGCCACGGGGGCTGCCAGCTGTGTGAGTGCCCTCTGGCTCTCCTGTGGGTTTTGCTCTCTCTGGGTCATGGGATAGATGCCTTTGTGTTTTTGGTCTGGGGGGGCCCACTCCGTCCCAGACCCTGGACCTGATGGGCCCCTGATGCCCCACACAGCTCCCACCATATCCTGCTGACATCCTGTCTGATGGCATTTTGCACGTGGTTGTACTTTGTTATTTCTGTATCACTTTCTCCCACTAGCTTCATCGTTGCTTCCAGACAAGGACTTTATCCATTTGGTGTCCCCAGTCATCAAGTATTCATTTGATGAGTCTTTGGTGTGGAGAGGCTGGGCACTGGCTAGGGACAGATATCCCATTTCCATATGACACAAGCATAGACACAGTGTGTACACGTAGGTGACTGTAGAAAGAACTTGATAGAGACACACCCAACCACTAGTGATCATGCCTGGGGAGGAATGGTCCAAGTGTAATTTTAAAATGTCATTTTATTCCAGAGGTCTTTCCAGACCCTGCTGTATGACTGTAGGGTAAATGATGGTATCGATTCAGGGTTTTTCCAGGTGTACGTTGTGTGCTGCTTAGGTTGGCCCTGGAGGGCAGCTCAAGGGAAGGGATTGTTCTCAGGCTCTAGGTCTTTCCAGACCCTGCTGTATGACTGTAGGGTAAATGATGGTATCGATTCAGGGTTTTTGCAGGTGTACGTTGTGTGCTGCTTAGGTTGGCCCTGGAGGGCAGCTCAAGGGAAGGGATTGTTCTCAGGCTCTAGCATCCTGGCTCTTGGGTGTGCTCATCCTGCTGCTGCAGTGTGTCCTGGATCCTGTGCGAGGTCCTTCTCATTGTCTAGGCAGTCACCAGTTCTGCTGGGTTGAGGTGCCCAAGCACTGGCCTCCTTTCCAAGCTGCCTGAGTGCACCCTCATGGTGGAAGTAATTTTGTCTTTGAAGTCTTTTCTAGAGCTGTGTCAACTAGTGTTCCACTGCCCCCAAAGGAAATCAATCATAAGGGGCTTTGGCCTGCCCACAGAAATGTAGATACTGGGCTGATACCGACCACCCCCACCCCACCCCCAGGAGCCAGCCTGTTTATAGCAACGAATCTGCTCGGGCTCCCAGTACTCCTGGCCAGTGGTGTGCTGTTGGGAGGGGGGGTATTGGGTTCCTGTAACTTAAGAGAAATATTGTACCATTTTGGAAGAGAACTGAGCTCTGAGAGATTTTCCTGTTGCTCAGTCTTTAAGAGAATTGCTCTTAAATTAAATCTTGCTCCCGTGGCTATTCCCAACTCACTGTCCTTCTCTTTTTCCTTTGTTCTTACCAAGCTTTCCCACCCACACTGCCTGTGGCTTCTTTTTAACCCATCAGTCTTTTGTCTTTTGCAGCCACATAAATGAGAAATGGCAAGTGTTAGGATCAAGGCTAGGGACAGGAAACTGTCTTGTGGGTGCCTGTGAGCCAGTCTCCTCTCAGTGACCTGCTGGAGGATCCTGCAGCACTGACCAAAGAAATGGTCAGCCTTTGGCAGAAGGGAGGGGTGTGGGGAAGAAATAGTACCCCACCAAGTTTTTGTTGGCAATGCAGAGCAGGCCACATGAGCTGCAACAGACTCCATGGGCCACATGTGCAGGGAGGACGTCCCCCAGGCTGTGAGGCTGGGTGCATCGTGAGCCCCCAGATGATGCCCAACAGCGCATGGGACTTCAGGAAAGGAGTGTTCCCTGCTATCTCATCCACTGTTCTCCTCCGCAGAAGTGCATGGGAATGATTCTCTCCTGAGCAACACCTCAGTGACACTGAACTGCTAGTTAGCACACACTATAATCCGTGGGTGTTTACTCATAGGAGGAAAAGAAGGAAAGGTATTTCTTATTAGTATCTTAGAGTTGGAAGAGAAGAAATATAAGAATCATTTTTAGGAACTCAACCGGGTGAGATTTAAGAAGTCCTCTAGTCTGGCCTTCTGTCTCCATGAAAGCTCCTAGTGTCTTGGGCCCTGCTGGGGTTTAACCCACGTCTTCAGAGCTTACCAGCCTTCCCTCTACTGTTAATTCTCTTTGCTGCAGGCTCTTACTGCCACTCCTTAACCTTTAACTTATTTTATTTGGTTGCTTGTGGGTCCATTGGAGAACTCTAGACTAGAGAGTCACTTAGGGAGGTGACTCCAGTTGAACTTGGCCTCAAATGTTTGCCTGGTTACTGCTGCTGAGCCCATCCTATGATCGCAGTAGGGTGGTGGTGGGCTCAGTTGAACAGTCCATAGGTGGCCCTGGCATGTTTGTGAATCAAATGCCTTGCACACTCAGCATCTACTTGTGTGTGTGACTGAAGAATCCATGTCAGCACGTCTGCTGCAGGTCCCTGCCAGGCTCATACCACAAAGCAGAGAAGCAGCTGAAGGGCGTTGAAGGGGAGGCAGCAGAAAGTGCTGAAACGTACCTGGATAACCCACCTCAGGCTTCCCAGGTGTTGCCAGTATTTGGTTTTACTTGCTCTGCTTTTTTTTTTTTTTTTTTGGTGACCGGTAAGGGGATCACAACCCTTGGCTTGGTGTCACCTGCACCGCGCTCAGCCAGTGAGCACACCGGCCAGTTCCAGTTCCATATAGGATCCGAACCCGCAGCGGGAGCGTCGCTGAGTTCCCAGTGCCGCAGTCTCCCGAATGCGCCATGGGGGCCGGCCCTTGCTCTGCTTTTTTAATTGCCTCTGTGTGGTGGTGCGCCTCTGACTATCCCCTCTCTGGACTGTTTCAGAAGAGGCAGACCACTACAACTTCGGGGCGGGCACCCTGTCACGAAAGAAGAAGGTGCTGGTGACGCTGCGGGACGAGGGTCTGCGCCGGCGCGCACACCTCAACATCGGCATGCCCCACGACTTCCGCCCCGTGTCCTCCATCATTGACGTGGACATCCTCCCCGAGACGCACCGCCGAGTCAGGCTGTACAGGCACGGCTGTGAGAAGCCACTGGGCTTCTACATCCGCGACGGCACCAGCGTGCGGGTGACCCCCCACGGGCTGGAGAAGGTGCCGGGCATTTTCATCTCCCGCATGGTCCCCGGGGGCCTTGCAGAGAGCACCGGGCTGCTGGCCGTGAACGACGAAGTCCTAGAGGTGAACGGGATCGAGGTGGCCGGAAAGACGCTGGACCAGGTCACGGACATGATGATCGCCAACAGCCACAACCTCATCATCACCGTGAAACCCGCCAACCAGCGGAACAACGTGGTCCGCAGCAGCCGCACCTCAGGCAGCTCCGGCCAGTCCACGGACAGCACCGCCAGCCACCACAGCCTGCCGGCCGCCCACGTGCTACAGAACTTCCACCCCGACGAGATGGAGAGTGACGAGGAGGCCGACATCGTCATCGAGGGGGCTCTGGAGCCCCGCCACGGGCCCAAGACGCAGGGGCCGCCCTCAGGCAGCCTCTCTCGGGTCAATGGCACCAGCCTGGCGCAGAGGCTGCACCGGGACCTGGCCCTGAACAGCTCCGGGCGCGAAAGCAACGGCAGCATCCACAAACTGCTCAGCTCCCTAAAGTCAGACCCCCGCCACAGCCTGGTCTTCCCCCAGGGAGGAGTCGAGGAGCACGGGCCCGCCGTCACGCTCTAGTGCTGCGCGGGCCGCTGGGTCGCCTGCAGACCTCACGGAGCGGGCAGAGAGTCCGGAGGGACCTGGCCAGGACTGTTGAGTACACAGTGATAAGTAAAATTCCAAGGGGAAATATTTTTAAATTTTTTATTCCAATTTTAAAATAAGAAAGATAATTGTATAAATCACCCCTTCTTTTTTGTTTTTATCACTCCCTTTTCTCCCACAACCTTACTCTGCTTGACCTCCTGGATATAGTAAAAATGCCATCTATTTTTATAGAATTTCTTCACAGAACTTAAAATACACACATGTACACACACAGTGTACTAGACCTGAGGGCAGGTCCTAGTACCTTTGCAAATTGATAGAAAAGATCTGACCAAGTACTGAAAATACTTCATTTTTAAATTTTAAAAATACTTCACTTTTGAAATGGAGGTTTAAAATTACTTTTTTAAGATAGTAGGATTCATGGGGGGGGGGGGGGGGTAAA